GAGGTTGGCGCTGTGGCTTCAGGGATCAGATTGGCCTCAGTCTGGATCCCAGTACCCCACTTAGAGATGTGGTCTGAAAGGCATCGTTCAACCTGTTACTGTTTCATGAATGGGGAAGAGTCCAGAAAAGGTTAGCACTTGCCTGGGGGTGACTCTTGAGGATTAAATGAGCTTCCTGTGCCGAACAGAGTCCTCACAGCAGTGCATACACCTCACCAGGCATTCAAATAATCGACAGTAGTGCTAACAGTAATAAGCATTAAGTGTTCTGTGAAGTTTATTTCTAAACAACAACAACAACAAAAAACTGGACTAGCTGAGAGGTCTTAAGAATGGTGGGAGTGGGGCTGGGAAGGTGGCTCAGTGGTAGAACGCTTGCCTTGCATGCATGAAGCCCAGGGTTCGATTCCTCAGCACCACAGAAGCAGAAAAAAACCCCAGAAGGGGTGCTGTGGCTCAAGTGGTAGAGCGCTAGCCTTGAGCTGAAGAGCTGAGGGATAGCGCCCAGGCCCAGAGTTCAGTGCCCACGACTGACACAAAGAAAAAAAAAAATGGTGGGAGTGGGCTGGGACTGTAGCTCAGTAGTAGAGTGTTTGCACAGCTTCATCAGTTCCACATCTATGGAAAAAGCTGGAAGTGGCATTGTGGCTCAAGTGGTAGAGTGCTAACTTTGAGCAAAAAAGCACTCAGGGACAGTGCTCTGGCCCTGAGTTCAAGCCCCAGGACTGGCAAAAAAAAAAAAGAATGTGGGAGTATCTTGGTCCCAATTTTTTTTTGGCCAAACATCCCACTGGTTAAATTTGTCTTCACACAATTCCATTCTTTTAGGACTGGGCGTGGAATCTACTTGGGAAGGAGTCCCACTTCAAGTTTGCTGACCATCAGATGCATGGTGACATTTGACCAAGACATTTGCTGGAATTCCCTCCCCCCCCCAAAACAATGAGCCATTATCACGAGATATTGTTTATTGTAAAACTCCTAGGCTCCTTACCATACACATTAAAACAAAAGGCCTCTTTATAGGCACTTTAGGCTGCAGTCAAGAACAAAAGAATATAATACCATGAAATGTCATACTGCATTGTGTCCTGCAGTGTCTTTTTATATCAGCTTAAAATAGACACATTTGTTACAAAGCAAGTGGCAGAACATTGAGTCAGATTCCATTTATGCAAAAATTACAGCATTCTTATGCATAGATAGTTTCTAGGGCAGAAAATAATTTGTTGCTAGTAACTTTATATCTAAGAATAGGGGTTGAAATTTTTAAAAAAAATTTTCTATATAGCCCTGGATACTTGAGTTTAGTTTTAAGCTAATGGATATATATCACATGCAACGTAATTTCTAAACCAGATAAAAATAAAAACATATATAAAAACTATACTGCTGGGCAGGGAAGGTAGCTCAGTGGTAGAGTGCTTGCCTCGCATGCATGAGGCCCTGGGTTTGATTCCTCAGCACCACATAAACAGAAAAGGCTGGAAGCGGCACTGTAGCTCAAGTGGTAGAGCGCTAGCCTTGAACTGAATAGCTGAGGGACAGCGCCCAGGCCCAGAGTTCAGGCCCCACGACTGACCAAAAAAAAAAAAAACAATACCAAAACCAAAACCAAAAATCCCAACATTACACTTCCAAATTAAGAGGGTCTTTTTTTTTTTTTGCCATCTGAGCTTGAACTCAGAGCCTGGGCACTGTCCCTGAGCTTCTTTTTTGCTCAAGGCTAGCACTCTACCACTAGAGCCACAGCAACACTTCTGGCCTTTTCTGTTTATGGGTACTGATCGATCTCAAGGGCTTCATGTATGCTAGGCAAGCAGTCTACCACTGAGCCATGTTCCCAGCTCTAAGAGGGGCTTAAGTTGGCTGTGGTGTCACACATGCGTTATCCCAGCAGAGAGAAAGAGTGCGAAAGAGAGAGAGAGAGAGGGAGTGGAAGAGGGAGTAAGAGAAGTAGTGGGAGAGGGAGTGGGAGAGGGAGAGGAGGGAACAGGGAGAGAACAGAGAGAGGGGACAGAAAGCAAGAGGAGACAGAGTAAAAAAGGAAACTAAGGTCAACACATAAAATTCAATAAGGTTAGTGGATACAAACATCTGTCCATGGGCTGGGAAGGTGGCTCAATGGTAGGAGTGCTTGTCTTGAATGCATGAGGCCCTGGGTTCAAGTCTTCAGCACCACATAAGCAGAAAAAGCCGGAAGTGGTACTGTGGCTCAAGTGGTAGAGCGCTAGAGTGCTAGCCTTGAGCTGAAGAGCTGAGGGACAGCGCCTAGGCCCAGAGTTCAGGCCCTATGACTGGCCAAAAAAAAAAAAAAAAAAAAAAATCAGTATATAAATACTAGTATTATTCCTTTAGCCTCGTAAAAACTAGCCAGAAAATATTAAATGAGACCATAAGCTATAAATATCTGGAAATTAATGCAACCAAAAAATGCTCATACACTGGGAATATAGCTCAATGGCAGAGTATGTGTGAGGCTTCAGGTTCAGTTCCCCACACCACAAAACAAACAGGCAAACACAAAAACAATCTCCTCAAATTTTCATGAAAAAGAATAGCTTTTTAATGACACTAAGCATAAGAGGACCCTGGTCAAGAAACAAACGGAACAATTAAGCAGATAAGAGAACACTGCAATATACACCTAGCATATGTTGGAAGTTGGGCAGAAAAATCACTAGGGAATCCTTATTCAATAAATTGTATGGAGAAAATGTATTCAACACTAAGGGAGAGAAAAATGGACTTTTTACCTCAAGTCATAGAACAAAATGAACTCCAAACAAAGACCTAGGTATAAAGGGGGAAACTAAAACTGTTAACAATTTGTGTGTGTGTGTGTGTGTAGGAAAAGACTTCTTCAACAAGGCCTAAAAATGTATGGGTGATGATGTAAAAAATAGGGTAGATGTAACATTCAATAAAGGATATGAGGTATAATGCTTTAGAGAATATTTGAGTCTAAACTGGATCAGAGGTTAGTACTTAGAAAAGACAAAAACCTCCCACAAATCAGTGAAATACAAGACAATAATAAAGGCAGTGAAGAGTAGGGATACAGTTTGGAATGCAAATTTCCTCCAAAAGTCTGTACTTTGAGGGTTTGGTTCCCATCCCATGGGGCTACTGAGAAGTGTTGGAACTTTTAGACGTGACCAAAAGGAAGTAAGTTAGGTCATGGGGGATATGCCTTTGGAGAAGATACTGGGAAGTTGTCCTCTCCTATTCTTTCACTTCCCAGCTACCCTGGACTCACTCAACAGCTTCTTCTAGCCGGTGCTCCCTCCAGGATGTACTAACGCAACACAGAACCAAAAGCCCACTGGGCCAACATGGAACATGGAACTGAAACCTTTCAAGCCAAACCATGAGTGAAACTAAAACTTGCTGCCTCCTAGTGTGAGATCTCAGGTATTTTATCAAAGTGATGAAAAGGTAATTAATTAACAGTCTATAGAAGGGGAGAAACTTAGAGGTTATTAAGTCCATAAAGAGATGTGCAAGTTCATTAGTAATCACAAAAATCAGAGTTAAGGTACCAGTTTAGAAAGTCAGGTGTAACCAAGGGTTCTCAAGAGAATTTTGGAATCCTCTTAGACTACAGGTGATCATAAATGATACATCAGATGAGATAATTATAAATTAAGGTCCAGTGTTTTTAGATAGATACCTTAGAGTAGCTTGCTCAAGTCCATAAGGAAATATACAAGTTTATAACAGAAGTACTTAGAAGGACCACTTGCAGATTTCCTTCCTTTCTTCCTTCCTTCCTTTCTTTTCTTTCTCTCTCTCTTTCCTTCCTTTCTTCCTCCCTACCTTTTTCATTTGCCAGTACTAGGCTTGAACTCAGCCTGGAACTCACTAGGCTTGCTTGACTACAGCTGGCACTCTTGCTTTAGGTATGCCTCCAGTCTAGCATTTTGCTGGTTAACTGAGATGGTCTTTTGCATTTTTCTTCCCAGGCTGGCTTCAAACTATGATCCTCTAAGATCCTGCCTCTTAGCCTCTTGAGTAACTAGGATTGCAAATATGAACCTGGTGCCTGGCTCCTTTTCACATTTGTAGAGAAGAAATGAACAGGTAAATTTCAGACATATGAAGCGGAAGGGACAGACAAAAATAGGCAAGTTATTTTTTTAAAGATATGGATGGAAAGTAAATTGAAACATGCTAGCTAATATACCATATCCCAAGGGTTCTGATGTTCTCAATTCTATATAACTGGTTACAAACTACCACTCAGCTAAGGAATATGAAGCCAAGAGACTAAGTGACAAGATTATCAATTCATAGCTGCTAAAAAAACATAAATGACAGTCACTTGCCTCTCAGGACACTGGCACTCAGATGGTCTTCTTTATGTCAAAACTTTCAAGTATCTCTACACCATTCAGAAGGAGAAAAAGATGAACATATTACAGTATGACATCAAGTACTCACATATTTTTTCATGAAACAAAGAAACGTTTAATCAATGGGTAAAATTCTAGGAATTTGCTGACTAGTTTTTTTTTTTTTTAACTTCCCTTAAGGTTATATTTTTGATAAGATGTGAATTTGACACAAAACTTGATGCAAAAAAGAAAAAAAAAGCCCTCCAGAAAAATGTTTACATAGATTAAAAGCAACCCCCCTCCCCCCACTCTGTGTTCTAGAACTAAAATGGCACAGGACTAACTAGAAAAGAACAAATTTGCATCTGAGAAGTATAGCAAATCAAGCCTGTGTTACATATATAGTTCACTAGTGAGGATTATAACTTTAGGTATCATATACTCTTGGCTCAGATTTCCAGAGTAAAAAAATATGTAAGTCCCAGAACACAGAGGATACACTAACTACAGGCAGCAAAGTTACTACAGGAGAAATGGGCATTTGAAGAGCTGGAGGATAGGAGTTAAATCCCACCATTCAAATCCTTCCCTCTCTAATCCCATCAAGTCAAAGTTAAGCAGGGCTTTACCTTTCCAAGGTTATCACATGCATACATACTTGAATACAGGCATAGAAACTTGGCACTTTTATTTGGGTAACAAAGCGTGTCCAAATTATATTGAAAAATAAATCCTAGTATCACTCCTGTAAAAAAATTTTTTTCGCACACTTTTCACACATGATTTATGCAAAAGAGAAGAAAATACACATAATTTTATAATAGCTTAAACTTTTTATTCCCTATCATTGACATTTTGTCTTGCGTTTTCTTTCCGTTTTCTACAATTTCCAACTGATACCTGAATTTAATACTGTTTTTAATCTGCTAAAGACATTAACTGTTCTCTAAGTCTAAGGATTATATAGTTTTAGTATAAATATATATCACATATTTTCGTAAAATTTGACAAAACTGAATAGGCATGCCTTGTCTGAATGAAGTCCATGCTCCTTCCAATGTTTATAAAATCTGATTTAGTGCTCAAAGCTCTTGGTAGTCACTCTTCTGTTACAACAGTCTTCCTTTTGAACTGCCACTCAATTTCTGACATAACAAGCAATAGGAAAACCAAAGAATTATGTTCATCTCAGTTCTTCCTTTTGACACTATAAAATAATGTGAACGTTAAAAAAAAAAATACATCTCAAACTCAATACATTCAAAGGAGCTGAGTTCCTCCTTTAAAGGTAGTCACCTTGGAAGGCCACTACAATATTAGTAACCAATTCCTTCGAAACTCTTTTGGGATTGCTTTCAAAGCCAGGTGCATACTTTCTACATTATCTGAAAGTTAGGCTTGATTTCTGAAAACTACCATTTGGTGTGCCAAATAATGCTAACCATTAAGCTGGGCAACAGTTGTTGTTGTTTTTAAACAATGTTTAATCATGAAACTAATAGCCTGTGATTTAATTAACTTTTGAATGCAAACCCAACAAGCTCTGAGCAACGATAGGTTGCTGGCATTAGAAAACAACCTTCCAGCACAGTTGCTACACAGGGTAACATTCATTAGCTGTCTATGTTCTGGCATATTTGCTTAAAGTGACATTTGAGAGTTAAAAATCTATTCTTTCTAAAAGGAATATCATTCTTTAAAAAAAATTTATTCCTTTAAAGCATTACTGTCAAAATAGTACTATGCAAGCATTTTGTTAGAAAGTAGTTCTTAGTTTACCAATAAAGACTACTTAAAAAAACAAAACAAAACCAAAAAACCTGAAAGCAAATAACCAGAGTATGTGCTTCCAGGCTTTTTATTATTAACCAAAGATAAAAGTAATTTCAAATTTCTAAGGTTCTAAAAACACAAAACAAACAACCCCAAAAGTAATAAAAACACATCAAGAACCAAACTACAATTTCTGAGCTGCACTGTTTATTTTGCTGCTTGAAACCTAAGTGACAGTATGCCACTGTAATTATGGGGTTTCATCTAAACCTTTACTACACTGCAGGTACAGAAATATACGGACACATTTTCTGGAGAATTGACATTTTGCAAAATGCAGCAAACATTTTCATTTATACATGAGAAAAGGAAGTGTTCAAAAGGGTATGCATTTCAAGTTATTGCAGGTTATTTGTGAGAGAATTTCTGCAGGTAAAACATGTTTAAATTTAACCAACAGTAGCATGTCAGTGTATTTAAAATCATGACAAACATCTTCTCTCTGGTCATGTTGCCCATGACAAATTACTATGATGTTGTGTGTTTAGGGCAAGATGTCAGTACAGCATAAATCCCATGGTATTTTGGTTTTCTTCTGGAGATTAAAGCTGTTTTTCTTGGGATAAATGCAGCAGCAAAACACAAACCAGCTGATCAAAAAAGCACTTCTGCCATAACTCCAACAATTTTCAGGACACATCAACCGACAGTAGTTTTGCCTTTCCCAGTTCTTTTAAGGATTACATCTCTGCACTGTTGTCTTAAGCACGTCTATAAAAGCTTGTTCTCTGTTAAGCCAGTTTACTGACTACAGCCTGGTTGAGGGAATTTAGTTGGTTGGTCCATTTATCTAGTGCGGTATACCGTGCACCACCTCTCTTCTGATGATCCAGTTCAAGGAGTTGATTGACTTGGTCAATTCGGCCATGAATAGTGCTGGAAATAAATAAAGATACTTTTTCACAAAGCATGACTCCTGAATGTTTCATATAACATTCACATTATCAGTAAATGCAGGAGAAAAACCTGCTGCCTTTGTTAAATGAGTGAATTTAGAGTGAGTCAGAGTGTTTACTAGCTTCTTCCAACTAGCAGGAAACCAGACTTCATCTACCTCTAGAAAGAATCTTTTGATAGACTTAATCTGCTTAATCAAGGGCAAATGGTATTAGTAAAGCTTTCAGTAACTTACTACTTAAAAAAAAAAAATTCCAAAACTGTTTTGTAACATATACTCCAGGCTTAAAAACATAAAAATTACTATTCATTAATAATTATTTCACTGTATATAGGGCATGACAAAACTGAAAAACCTTTCTGAAAAGACATGGAACTTTATGAGATCATATGTTTAAGATTATCAATTAATCAAAAATGTCCACACAAGGCACTGGTGGCTTACACCTATAGTCCTAAGCTACTCAGGAGATCTGTGGAATGCGGGTCAAAGCCAGGCGGGCAGGAAAGTCCATGAGAGTCTTATCTCCAATTCACCACCAGAAAACCCAAAGTGGAGCTGTGGCTCACGTGGCAGTGTGCTAGCCTTGACTGAAAAAGCTCAGGGGTAGTGCTGAGGCCCTGGGTTCAAGCTCCGTGAACAACAAAAACAAAAAAAATAAAAACAAAGAAGTCCAGCTATATAAATATCTCTTCTAATAGAAAATCATAACCACAGAATACTCTTTGTGAAAAAAACCAACAATTCAAGACGTATGGTCCCAAACGTTCTGCGATTTAAGAATTAGTTTTAGATTACTCACTTATCCAATATGCACTGCACCAGTAAGCTTTCCACGTCAGCTACATCTATGTTCAGCTCCTACAAAAAAAGACTCATTAACATTTTAAAAGCTCCGACATTTTATATGATCATTCTGATCTGATTTTAAATTCATTTCCACCACTGAAAGGAAAAGGTTTAATTTCTTATTTTTAAACTTGATCTTTTCCCCCTGCTCCCCATATACTGGTGGGTGGTTGAACCTTGTACTTAAGACATGCTAGGCATGTGCTGGTGCTTGCCTATGGAGCTAGGTATAAAGACAGTTGTTTTTAAAAAGGAAAAATTCATAATTGCAAGCTGGGTACTGGTGGCTTATGTCTGTGATCCTAGCTATTCAGGAGGCTGAGATCTAAGGATCACAGTTCAAAGGCAGCCTGGGCAGGAAAGTCTGTGAGACACTTAATCTCCAATTAACCATCAGAAAACCGGAAGTGGCACTGTGGCTCAAGTGGTAGTGCACTGGCTTTGAGCTGAAGAGCTCAGAGACAGTGATCAGGCCAAGTTCAAGTCCCACAACCAACCAAAAAAAAAAAAAAAGTGCTTCAACGTATCTTCTGAAACATAGATCTGATAAAGACCAAACTCAGGAACTTGCACATGCTATGCTAGGCAAGTATTCTACTAGCTGACCTACGCCAGAGCCTTAATTCTGTATTTTTTTCCCCCAGGGCTGAGGACGGAATCCAGGGCCTTGTGGGTGCCGGGCGGGCACCCTTCCGCTGGGCTAAACCCTCAGCCCCTGATTCTGTATTTTTTGAAAAACTGTGCCAGTCCTGGGGCTTCGATGCACATGCTGGTGCTCTATCACTGGAGCCATACATCTACTTCTAGCTATTTTAGTGGTTAATTAGACTTTCCTGCCAGGCTGGCATCAAACCATGATCCTTAGAGCTCAGCCACCAGAGAAGCTAGGATTACAGGCTTGAGCCACTGGCACCCAGCTTCTTCTTCTTTTTTGGCCTATCTTGGGACTTGGACTCAGGGCCAGGCGCTGTACCTGAGTCACTTTGCGCTCAAGGCTAGTGCTCTACCACTTGAGGCACAGTACCACTTCGGGCCTTTTCTAAGTAGTTTATTGGATATAAAGAATCTCACAGACTTTCCTGCCCATGCTGGCTTTGAACCATGATGCTCAGGTCTCAGAGACCTGAGTAGCTAGGATTATAGGCAGGTGTGGTGTGAGCCACCAGCCCTCGGCTCCCAGCTTCTTTTGAAGTATATTTTATAGTGGTCAGGTGGGTCTTCATCTACGTTATATTTTAATCACTATTGTGATGGGCTGGAGAAATCTTTAGAAATTTAGCAATTAAAAATTGTTTGGATACAAAGTTAATGACCTTTTCCCCTAAACTCAATTTATACCCACACCTAATAGCAAAACAGATAAATTACACTAAATTAAAAATATATGTAACACCTCCAATTTAGAGTCACTCTTGGGAAAAGGAATATAATACATTTATCAGAATTATAAACATCATTAAAACCCATGAATACAAGTACCTTAGAAATAAAAGGAATATGTATTCTTGTGTAAGGCTTAATTAATTTTATGAGCACTTGTGTCCTGATGTTTCGCAAAAGTTCTGAAAGACAAAAATAGATTTGTATATAATTGCTTGTATATCTTCATGAATCACATACTTCTAAGCCATTTTAATTCAGTTATGGGAGATCTTCTCAAAATGTATCTTTTTGCTTTGTGAGGCCTTAAGAGTGTTTATATCTAAAAACAGCTGGGTCCAATGGATACACTGTATGACTAGAGGCTTCCTGTCCTGTGATGCTTGTTCTACCCCTGCTCTGTAGAAACTCCACTACAATGTCCTTCAGCCTTCTTAATGCTATTCCACGGCCCTTCACACCATGAGCAGGGTCTCTGCAAAAGCTCTGACTACGTAACAGCCAAGTTCCCTGCCCTATGTTTTCCAAATCTATAGTATTACATTTCATGTATTTTTCAATTCCCTAAGTTTTTTTTTTTTTTTTTTTTTTTTTTTACATACAATTGCCTTTAAAATTTTTCTTTTCTTTTTCTGCCTTTTTTAATTTTAAAAACTGGATCTGAGTTCATGGATAATGTTTCTATAATGTCTACACCTACAAAGTACACTACCATTCAAGACTCATTGAAGAATTTTCTTTTTGTAGTACTGGGTCTGACCTTATGGCACGGGGAGAGGGGCTTGCTTGCTAAGCAGGTGATTATCTCTTTAGTCATGCCCTTGGCATTTTTTTTTTTTTTTGCTTTTTGCATTAGTTATTTTTGGGATAAGGTCTTGAATGTATGCCCAGGCTGACCTGGATCTGGATCCTCCTATTTACATTTCCCATGTATTTGAGATAACCTAGCTATAAATTAGGATGGGGTCTTGCTAATTTTTTGTGTGAGCTGGCTTAGAACTTGGATTCTCCCAATCTTTAACTCCCAAAGAGCTGAGATGATACATGTGAGCCACTAGTGCCTGGCTTACATTTTTTTCTATTGTTATTTTCCTTTTTTTGATGACACTGGGGTTTGAACTCAAAGTCTTATGTTTTGAGGCAGATGCTCTACTATTTGAGCCACACCCCTAGATCTATTTGGTCTAAAAATGACAATTTTCAATCTTCTATCTGTAGAAACCATGATGAATCTGAGTTTCAAAGCAGTTATTTTTTACCTGTTCTTAGCCTATTAACTTTCTGGCATACCAAATGACATTATGTAGGTTTTATAACCGTTTTTAGAGAATAAGCCTAAACAATTTAGTCATTAAAAACAGTATGACAATTGAAGGAAACGATAGGCGTTACTTCTAAATTATTCTTCAAAATTTTCTGATGCACCTGGAATTTAGGTATTTAAATGAATTGTTCCAAAAGGTCGTTTAAAAAATCTCCTTAAAGGGGCTGGGAAGGGGGCTTAGTGGTAGAGCGCTTGCTTTGCATGCCTGAGGCCCTGGGTTCGATTCCCCAGCACCACATAAGCAAAAAGAAAAAAGCCAGAAGTGGCATTGTGGCTCAAGTGGTAGAGCGCTAGCCTTGAGCTGAAGAGCTGAGGGACAGCGCCCAGGCCCAGAGTTCAGGCCCCACGACTGGACCAAAAAAAAAAAAAAAAAAAAATCTCCTAAAAGCTCCATAATAGGGTGATTGCACTCGAGCTGCAAGGGACCCCCAAAACAAAGAGATGATTTTTGTCTGGCAATTAAGTGTAAGTTACTGAAAATCTCATTCACTTACAAGCATGAAGACGCGCAATGTGACCTTGCTTTGTGTAGTAAATGCACCTAAGCCATTACCTATAGATAGCAGAGTATTTTTTTTGTTTGTTTGTTTGTTTTTGGGTCCAGTCATGGGGCCTGAACTCTGGGCCTGGGCGCTGTTCCTCATCTCTTCAGCTCAAGGCTAGCGCTCTACCACTTGAGCCACAGTACCACTTCTGGCTTTTTTCTTTTTGCTTATGTGGTGCTGAGGAATCTCTGAGGGCCTCTGGCATGCAAGGCATGCGCTCTACCACTGAGCCACCTTCCCAGCCCCCAGATAGCAGAATATTTTGAAAGCTTTTGACAAATCATTTTACTTTGAACTTAAGCATGGAAAACTAATTTGCAATAATACCTAAGTTAGAGTAAGAAAGATAAAGTGTAAAAGGCCAGGTCACCTCTAACAAAACATCAGCTAGGAACTTGATTTTAATAAAATGAAATTGGCTGAGTTTTGTTTTTGTTTATTTTTTGGTCGGTCGTGGGGCCTGAACTCTGGCCTGGGCGCTGTCCCTCAGCTCTTCAGCTCAAGGCTAGTGCTCTACCACTTGAGCCATAGTGCCACTTCAGGCTTTTTCTGTTCGTGTGGTGCTGAGAAATTGAATCCAGTAGCAGAGTAGCTTTGTATGTTGTGACAGGATTTAGAAGCATTTGCAGTAATGGAAAGAGAATTCAGTTATCAGAAGAAGCATACCTTCAATGTGTTCTCTTATGAAAGGGTCATCCATGATGTTGCTATGATTTGTTTTCAGAATCTTTTCAAATTCAGTGATGTCATTATTCTGATAGGCACTGATAGAAAAAAAAGTAAATTTTGTCAAACATGAATTCATGTTAGTCATAATCCAGAGCCTGTTTCTCAATTTTTATACTTAAAAGTCTAAATTGTTACTTTATTAAACCACAGAAATTGAATTAAGCATATATGCACTGTTGCTTTAAAAAAAAAACAAACAGCTTCCAAGTAAAAGATGCAGCTCAGTGGTAAAGCATACGCTTAGCATGCACAAGGCCTAGACTCAATTTCCAGCATTCCCGCCCCTCCCTCAATTTCCTTTTTAATACTTAATAAACAAGTCTTCTGGGTTATGGACTATATGTATATTTAACTATTTAAAAAAATCTTAGTTTTGTTAAAAGTTGACAATGAAACATCTCATAACTATTCAGTGCCGTTGCTTTCAAGTTCAATTGTTCATTTGATTCCTAATCACTCTTAATGTAAGAAACCACTACTAGTACTCTATGAAGGAGTTTCAGTGTTATCTTTAAGTAGAAAAATATATCCTCTCTGAAGATTATTCCTCAGTTTTATCTTCTAGAAAGCTACCAGCAATTGTCAAAACTTCTCAAAATAAACTCTTTGGTTGTCCAAACTCTCTGGCTTTAGAGCAGAGACTGTAAGTGCAACATCAGTGGTGGATAATGAAGGAGCGTACACAGAGAGCAGTGGGGCTCCTGCTGCAGCAGCCGAAGGCTGAATTGTGCTCTGTACTGTTTCTAGGGATCTGGTATCTACTCTCGCAGTAGTTCCGTAAGGCACTATGGGATTGCTAAGGGTGCTGAGAAGGAAGAAGCCAACCTTCTGGATATGGCACCACTGTCTGCTTTATATGTAAGACATATCCTCAACATTCTGCACGCCTCTGCTGTGCTTCCATCTGTTGGGTCGCAATGTAACTTCGTGTTAGGGACAGGTGATTCAAGTGCTCCAACAGGAATTAGTTTCCTCTAGTCTGCTGGCAACTGACTAGGAAGATAAAATTAGGAAGCATTACTTTCTTACCTACTCCAAACACATTACTGTAATCTACTATAGGAGGATATATTCAAGTACTGAAAACATTTGCACGTTATCTTATTTGCACACACATATTTTAACTGTGAGGTATTTTCTCATTACTTGCTCTTTTCTCATTACTTGCTCTTGCTTTTTTCTTTTTTTTTCCCTTTCCTTAATGTTATACAAAATGGAGGACTACTCTCAGGATCACTAGTCAGACTAAAAATTTTATAGCTTTAAGTTTCTAAGTTCACGGACAGAAATTTCACTGGGGCAAATAGATATAAAATACAAAGGTAATATCACTACTTTTCAAAGGGTTGATAAATGAGCTCTTCAATCCATCTTAATATATGTAGCCAATTTACTTTTTATAAAATGATCATTTCTAGGGCTAATTTTTTTTCTTAATATTTTCCTAAAAAGTTCAAAGTGCTCTTTAGCAATGTAGTGTTATAAATATTTAAAAAGTAGTTTGAAGTTAAGCAAAATGTTTAAAAAGGGTTTTTTGGGGGGGTGATAGTGAGGTTTCAACTCAAGAGTTTTAACCTGCTTGCCAGGGTCCTCCACTACTTGGACCACGCTCACAACAGCTGTCACTTTTAGGCGTTTTTAGAATGCTTTTTTATGCCTGAGCCAAGATCCCATTTAGGCTTCCTTTGTAGGTAGGATAACAGGTATATACCTCTAGGCCCAGCTTGTATTGGTTGAGATGGGGTCCCATAAGCTTTTTACCCAGGCTGGCCTCAAACTATGATCCTCCCAATGTCTACCTCCCAGGTAGCTGGAATTACAGATGTGAGTCACCTCATCTAGTTTAAAAATCATTTTGAATTTCTAACCAGATCAATTCATAGTAATGTGGCCAAGTGGAGATAAGATAAACTGCTTGAAATTAAGATGGAAAAGTGTCTTTTTATAACTAAAATCAACCTGATTCAATAAAAATGTATTAAAAGTAGATTAAAGAAGCAAACAGAAAATTCTGATGTCATAACATGGCAATTTATAGAGTTTTTTAATCCTCCAAATGCTCTTAGAATCCTAAAACTCCTGACTCTTACTTCTTATGGCTAACATTAAGGTTTGTGTGTGTGCTGATCCTGGGGACTGAACTCAGCCTTGGTGCAGTCCCTGAACGTTTTGCTCAAGGCTAGCCCTCTACCACTAGAGCCACAGTTCCATTTGTTTGTTTGGTTTTTTTTTTTGGGGGGGGGAGGTAGGAGTGGGGAGAGTAGTTTTTTGGAGATAACAGTCTCATAGACTTTGCTGCCTGGGCTGGCTTTGAACCTCGATTCTCAGATCTTGGTTTCCTCAGTAGTTAGTATTACAGGTGTGAGCCACTATTTTCTCCCAGCATATGAAGCTGACATATCATTTATAATAGAATTTATTTTAATGGAAAAAGGCCAATTTATCTAGATGTATCTGCAAGAGACCCTGTGCGACTGTCCTCACGAAAGTATTCCAGCCCTCGTAAACTCAGCACAACAAAGACCTGAAGCAACTTAGGAGGCTTCTTATACTTCTCCACAAAGTCCAAAGAGGTCTAGAGGATCATTTATTCCTAGCTGAGAGGAAAGTTTCTCTTGCTGATTTCTTTTGCAGAAATAGGGATGCCCATGCCCTTTTAAGCCTTTTGCTTGGTTTGACCTTTTATAATTATATTTAGTAGTAAATGATAAGGGCTAACCACCATTTCATTCACATCTTTTGCCACAGAAACATTAATGTCCATTTTGACCCTCTGCTTCCTTACCCTCCATCTCAAGAATTACTCAGAGGACACTTTTACATGGTTATTTTCATCTTGCTTCTGAGAAAAGCAAACAAGAAACCAAACAATGGATAATTTACAAAATTTTATGACTAGTAGAAACAGCATAATAAATGGCTTTAGAAGATAAAATTTCATGCATTTTAATATTTCATACAAAAATACAAAAGAGCAAACAATGAACGTGAACTGAATTTTGAAGTTTCTTTTTTCCTCTCTCCTTTATTAACTGCTTTAAAGAAATTTACCTTAACTGAAATATAAAATCTTACCTTACTAAATTTGTCATCGCTAGAATTTCTGGATCATTTTTGTACGGCTTGGCCTAAACACAATAAAGAAGAAATACAAAATAAAACACACAAAAAACGAATTATGTATATGTACAAAAAAGAATGCCATTTAAAAGACAGCTGATAAAAGAAACTAACAAAACTACACACACCTCCTGTGAGTCAAATGGATTGATTCCAGATTTCATAAGCATATTAGCGAGGACCAGATATTTTAAGCAAGTAGTTCGCCTTGGACTTCCTGATTCGTCATAATTCTTGAAGGCTTCAAAAAAGTCAGTGTGTGCCTTTTCAAATTCACCTTCTCTCAAGTGCATTTTGCCTCCACATTCTATAAAGAATAAAATATGAGAGTAAAAGAACACTTTCAGTTTTGTAAGCCGACCAACTACTTTATGAAGATCAAATGGAAACAATTTCATTAGCTTCCAGTCTTTTAACTTTAGAACCTAAACAGCAATAGTCCCACGATATATAATTGAATTCCTCATAAAACATCAGCCAGACAACCACTTGCAAATTTCTACCTTCAGTTGAAACAGAACGGAATCCATTGGGACGGGACTTCTGGTAAAGACAGTATTATGAAATGTAATTTATCAGAAGTCCTAGCTTTCATAGGACAAGAATACATTCTAATTTCTCTCAAAGGTTAGACCATTTCATTGTCTTTACTACTACATGATTTTTGGCATAGCAGGAAAAATACTCCAGTCATGTGGTCACACACAGTAACTGTGATCGCCCCGTATCTGCACATTCTCTCCAAACCAAACTTGCCTCTGATGACTCCCATGATCAGTGGATGAGGGATGGCAGACTTGATGTGAAGTGACTGTTCGTAGAGTGCTTTCAGTTTTTTGTTATTTTTCTGTGCTGTGTACATCTGAATTTCCAGAGCATATATTTCTAATAACTGTGTGCCTTTTTTCAGGTCATCTTCTCCATCATCAGTCTAGGAAATGCAAATACTCCAGTTAAGATTGAATTCAGACAACCTAGCACTATTTAGTTGACTTAGTCAGGAAATATTTCATTTATAACCACGGTTGATGAACAAGTACTACAAGTTTTATTTGGGAACTGGTATACCCAAAATACCACTTGCAGTGGCCAAATGGAACTCCCATCTTTCTTACTTCCAGTTACTGAATAAGAAAAAAGTGGCAATGTATGCATTATCCTGCCCATGTGATTGTAACCCCTCTGTACAGTATGTTCTCAAATAAAATAAAATAAAATTAAAAAAAAAAAAGAAGAAAAAAAAAAAAAAAAAAAGAAAGAAAAAAGTGGCCAAAGGGAGCAGCCTAATTGATAAAGTGCCTAACAAGCATGAACTACTGCAAAAAAGGAACAAGTGGCGCTGTGTGTGTGTGTGTGTGTGTGTGTGTGTGTGTGAGTGTGTGTGTGTGTGTGTGTGTGTGTGTGTGTGTGTGTGTGTAACTGCTTTAGGTCCACCTATTCAATCAAAAAGTACTTCCAGAGTGCCTCATGGGGAAATACAAAGGAAGATAAAGTTGCAATCGCCAACTGCTCACAATATACTATTAAACACTAATCTGCTGCAGACGAATAATAATGTAAATGATACTGATTCTAGTTGAAGCATAAACCAGGTACCTACAAGAACAAAAAGGACTAACTTTCCTAGAGGCATGTCAGAGGAATCACAAAGGTGGTAACTTTTGAGTTTGACTTCTATAGTGTATAGTCAGAAGTCTGTAAATATAAAACACTTACATACACTAAGCAAAAATATACTGTTCTATTGAGTTGTGCACTTTGGTTTTATTCACTAACAATTCAAACCCAGAGTAAAATATAAGATATGAAAAAAAGTCTGTACATTACCTCTATAATAAAAAAAAATTTTTTTTTTTTGGTCAGCTGTGGGTCTTGAACTCTGGGCCTGGGCACTATCCCTGAACTCTTTAGCTCAAGGCAAGCACTCTACCACTTGAGCCACTTCTAGTTTTCTGTTGGTTAATTGGAGATAAGAGTTTCACAGAGTTTCTTGCCCTGGCTGTATTTGAACTGCAATCCTCAGATCTCAGCCCCCTGAGTAGCTAGGATTACAGGTGTGAGCCGCCGATGCCCAGCTTAAATTTTTTTTAAAGAAAAAAAAAATTACATCCATGTTGTATATTTGTCTAAACATAATTCCACCACACTACTACATACTATAGTGTTGTTTACAAAGTTTTAAAAAAACTTCATTAGGGGGCTGGGAAGGTGGCTCAGTGGTAGAGCGCATGCCTTGCATGCCAAAGGCCCTGGGTTCGATTCCTCAGCACCACATAAGCAAAAAGAAAAAAGCCGGAAGTGGCGCTGTGGCTCAAGTGGTAGAGCGCTCGCCTTGAGCTGAAGATCTGAGGGACAGCGCCCAGGCCCAGAGTTGAGGCCCCATGACCGGACCCAAAACAAACAAACAAACAAAAAAACTTCATTAGTAATGCTACTTGAAGATTAAAAAAAAAAAACAAGTATGATAGCCAGTAAAAATAGAGTTGTATACTCCTGACCATTTTGTTCTTTCAATTAATTGAAATTTCAAATGTTTGACAGCTATGCATACTTAGCACTATTATTTTGGATTAACAGGGGTATAGAACATTTCCAGTATCTTCAAGGTCTGGTAGACAACCATGCTTCAGGATTCATATATTATCAGTAAAAACATAAAATATTGTTATTATGTATGGTGTAATATTTGTGCCTTATATTCTTGAGGTGAATATCAAAATACCAAGGCTTATTTTTACTAAGAATTGCAAGTGATCTGTTTACTGATACCTGTACTTTATTCCACAAATGATAAGATTGAAATTTGTATTAAGACAAGAAGAAATGTAATAGTCAGATAAAGTTAAAACTTGCGTCAGTGGCTCATGCCTGTAATCTTAGCTACTCAAGAGGCTGAGATCTGAGGATCACAGTCTACAGACTCTTATCTCCAATAAACCACTCAGAAAACTGGAAGTGGCGCTGTGGCTCAGGTGGTAGAGCGCTTGCCTTGAGCTGAAGAGTGCAGGGACAGCGCCTAGGCCCAGAGTTCAAACCCCACAACTGGGGGAAAAAAAAAGTTAACATGTTTTTTTACTTTTGCTCTTGTTTCTATGGAGACAAGGTTTCCTTATATAGGCCATGATCCTTTAGCTCCAGCCTCGAAACGTATTCCTAAGTTTTATTTGTGGGACGGCTGTCTGAACAAAAACATCACTAAATGATATGTTGAATACAATTATGTCACATTTTTTATTATTAAAAAGAAATGCCAAGAAAAAAAAACAAACAAGGCAATGCTACCTGGCAGGACTGATGTAACTGTCGTAAAATTTTTTGAAGCTTTCCGTATTCTTCTCGTTCTAAATATAACTTGCCAAGCTGTAAAGAAAGCAAACTTATTAAAATCAAAAATATTTAACAGAAGGTAAATATATATATATATATATTTTTTTTTTTTTTTTTTTTTGGGTCGGTCGTGGAGCTTGAACTCTGGGCCTGGGCGCTGTCCCTCAGCTCTTCAGCTCAAGGTGAGCGCTCTACCACTTAAGCTACAGCGCCACTTCTGGTTTTCTGGTGGTTTATTGGAGATAGGAGTCTCACGGTCTTTCCTGCCTGGGCTGGCTTTGAACCGCGATCCTCAGATCTCAGCCTCCTGAGTAGCTAGGATTACAGGCGTGCGCCACCAGCGCCCGGCAAGGTGAATATATTTAGGAAAGATTACTAAGGACACCCACCCACTCTTCAAAAATAACCAATGTAATTGCCGTTGTTACCTTTGTGTTTGTTTTAAACCACAGCCTATCATTCTTAGCATCTTTCAAAGCTTCCAGGGTTGTTTCATAGAATTCCTGCAGTAAATCCATCTGACATAAAAAATCAGAATTCTATAATTGTAAACAGCAAATTTGTACCTGTTAATAAAGTTAATTTGAACAAACTAAAAGTGCATCTTTGAACTTTAATATACATAGGACACATTATTTGTATCTTATCTAATGTCTTCTAAAATCCCATAATTAAAAGACCAAATTAAAAAAAATTAGTTAAGTGCCAAGATCTATTTAAGCTCTAATGCTAATAGTAAAGGTATGTGCTTCCCAGTTAGTAACTCATCTATGTTGACAGAGAATATGATACATTTCAACAAGAGCTAATCACGTATATTTTACCCACCAAACCCTATCTGGTATTTACTAAATAGCAAATACTAAGCAAACTATTAGAGAAACAAAGAACAGTAAGTCCCTTCTCTCAAAATTCTGTTTTCAAAATGTGACTAATTTTTTAGCTCTAAAGTAACTGGTAAACTTTTGAAACTGGCAGGAAAGACAAGTTTAGGATTTGTTATTGTTGTTGTTGGTCGTAGGGCTTGAACTTTGGGCCTGGTCGCTATCCCTGAGCTCTTCAGCTCAAGGCTAGCTCTCTACCACTTGAGCCACAGCGCCACTTTCGGTTTTCTAGTGGTTTATTGGAGAAAAGAGTCTCATGGACTTTCCTGCCTAGGCTGGCATTGAACTGGCATCCTCAGATCTCAGCCTCCTGAGCAGCTAGGATGACAGTTATGAGCCACCAGTGCCCAGCAAGTTTAGAATAATTTTAGCTATGTTTGATCAATACTAATTTAGCAATCTTGGTGTGATTCCCTTCATTGTGATTATAAGCTTTTTTGCTCATCTTCCTCTCATTACTACTGGCTTTGCCTTAGAATATCTAGATCTCTAGCTCTCTTCTTAACAGGATCCAAAAGTGCAGCAAAGTTGGATACTTCCACAAAGTTGCCTACTTACTTGTAATTACTGATGGCATATGGGAAAAGTCAGAGTGCCACCCATCCCTATCTAGTCTTAGTTTCAAAAGGCAAAAGACTTATACACAGAAGTTTTAATGCCACTTAAAGGTTAATGTTCTGAAAAAACATGCAGATTTAACCTGGAGGTTGTCATGAATACCTGTAATCCTAGCACTGGGGAGGCAGAAGGACCTCAGGTTTTGTTTGTTTGTTTTTTTTTTGTCAGTCATGGGGCTTGATCTCAGTGCCTAGACGCTGTCTGTAAGCTCTTTTGCTCAAGGCTAGTGATCTACCACTTGGAGCCACAAGTGGTTTCTGATGGTTAATTGGAAGTTAAGATCTCATGGCCTTTGCTGCCCAGGCTGGGTTCAAACATCAATCCTCAGATCTCATCCTTCTGAGTAGCTAGGATTACAGGGGTGAGCCACTGGTGCCCAGTTGATCTCAGGTTTTAAGTCTACCAAAGCTAGCTCAATTGGTGATTAAATTTGTTATAAGGAACTGTGAGAGTCTAGGGCTGTTGCTCAGTGGTAGAGCACTTGCCTAACTTTCATGAGGCCCTGGGTTCAATCATTACCACCACCAAACACAGGTACTAAGTATAAGTCTGTAAAAGTTGTTTGCCAACTATTTTAGTATTGAAGACATTTAAAGAGAGAAAGTACAGTTATTATCTCTTCATGTTACATAATTAGTATCACAATCAATATACTATTTTTATAACTATTTTTTAGTAACTAGCATAATTGCTTTAATACAACCTCTACAGTTTTTCTTCTTTTAAGTACAAAGGCCTTACTACAAATTAAAAAAAAACCCTGATATTAATACTAAGAGGAAAAAAATTCGTCTAACCTGTTTAGAAGTAGAGATATAATCAAGAATAGAATTAATGGATTTTTCAGAATAATTTCTTGTGACTGCACTTCGAATATAGGTCAATAGTTGTTTATATCTATTCATCATTTCTGGAAAGTTTGTCTGTAGGAAAGAAAAATGTATTGTTAGATACACAATTGTATAATAAAAATCTGCATACATGATTTAAAATATAGTACATAAGAGTACCTACCCAACTGAAATATAATTCCTATAAATCATAACACAACATGCTTTTATATCGGGCAGGGACATTATTTTTAACTTAAACTTGAAATGAATTACTCAGATACACCAACAAAATTTAGGCGTTTAGCTTACAAAATAAATGTAACTTACATTTGTAACTTAAAAGATTCAGACATTATTCCTTATTGTATAACATATTTATTTGAATCATAGTCCTTGTGAAGCTAAGGCAGTAAAACAGAACTCAAGGCTAGCCTGGACTACGTGAGAGATCCTGATGCAAAAACATGGAGAGAAAAAAGAAGAAAAAAAGCTGGGCACTGGTGATTCCTGTTTGTAATTCTAGCTACTCAGGAGGATGAGCTGTGAGGATCATAGCTCAAAGTCAGCCCAAGCAGGAAAGTCCATGGGACTCTTATCTGCAATTAACCACTAAAAGGCTGAAAGTGGAGCGGTAGCTCAATTGGTAGAGCTCTACCCTTAAGCAAAAAAGCTTAGGTACAGTGCCCAGGTCAAGTTCAAGTCCCAGGACTTGAAGAACCAAGGTCCTACTCAACAGTAGATACAGTTCATGTTGTTATCCCTTGCATTTATACTACTGGGTTATTCCAAGAAACAGAAAATTATTCCAAGAAATAACAGATCAGAAATAAAAAGACTACAAGTATAATGTCCAGTGCTAAGTATCTAGGGGGGAAGCTTACTATCTAACTATGTAAAATCAATTTAGGAGTCTAACTTAGATCCAGTCCTCACAATCTCCAACTGCTATTAATATCTCCTTTTATTGAGTTAGCTTCTTTTAAGCAGGAGATGAAGCATTGGCAAGTATGAATGTTTTTTCTTCAACTGAACACATGTAGTTATTAGGGTAAGGAATAAGTATATACTACCTATATATATACCAAGTTACCTTTGATTACATTTTACTAGGATCACTCTGCTACCTGGGAGATCAGACTGTAGCAGAGCAAGGACGGAAGTAAGGAGGCCAGATAAGAAGCTACTACAAAAAAGAAGGTGAGACATGTTAGCTTGGACCAGAGTAGAAATGCTAAGTACTAGTCAGATACGGGGTATAATCTGATGATACTGCTGATGGATTATATTTGTTGGGCAAGACACAACAAAAGAAGTAACAGGAAGATTTTGGTCCTAGACAGTGGACAGGAAATTTGTAATAAACAGAATCTTAGGATTTAAGGTACAAGTATAAGGATTTAAGTACAAGGCACTGAGTTATCAAAAAGCTACTCTATAAATAATGCAGCCAAACACTGTGCATACAACTAAAGAATAAGTTTTCTTAACAAACAACTTTTGTATCCTATGCAGAATTTTAAGAGTAGTATTACTGGTCAAAGCTTTTGAGAAGCAGACTTGGAAGCATATCAGCAGAACTATTAGAGAAGTTATTATGGCATTTTGTTGCAATGAGGTGTCCACCTACAGAATATAGTCATTATTAGTTCAATTCCCCTCAAAACAACTCTTACCAACTTGAAGTTAATCTTAATCATTTGTTTCAGTGCTTTAAATCCCCATTCTCCTTTTTCACCTTCAAGTTCCAAAACCTAAAGAAGGGAAGGAATTTTTAGTTTACATACTATACTAAAACTATGGCATTCACTGCGATAGCTCTGAATTAATTTTACATCATATTCATGAAAACAATTTCCCTAAGAATCTCACCATTTCTCACTATCACTTTTAAAAAGATTAAAAGGTAAGCCCTGAGATACTTACTAGTGGTTCAGTAAAAATCTTTCAATTTTTTTTTTTTAAATCAAAAGACTTCCGAAGTTTTCTTGATTACACAGACTCAGAAGCACTTCCTCTTCCCCAACAAAAACCTTTGGTAAGAACTACCCAAGTGTATTAGAAGCAATGTAATCTGTCCTGCAAAGAATAAGACTGTAGTGGTAACACCTACTGACCACTCCATGGGGTGTCCTGCGAGTATGCTTTTCCAGGACAACTCAGTTTCACTGGAAAAACAATCCGTACCCCTTTTATTTTATTTCTAGCCATGCAAGCCCTGATTCACACATTAATTCCTAGTTTTTGCTGTCTTCTTTTTTTTTTTTCCCTGCCAGTCCTGGGGCTTGAACTCAAGAGCCTGAAGGTTGTCCCTAAGCTTTTTTTGCACAAGTCTAGAACTCTACCACATGGGCCACAGCTTCACTTCTGGGTCTTTTTTTTTTTCAGTCGGTCATGGGGCTTGAACTCTGGGCTTGGGCGCTGTCCCTGCACTCTTCAGCTCAAAGCAAGCACTCTATGGCTTGAACCACAGGGCTACTTCTAGTTTTCTAGTGGTTTATTGGAGATAAGTCTCATGGACTTTCCTGCTCGGGCTGGCTTTGAACTGTGATCCTCAGATCTCAGCCTCCTGAGTAGCTAGGATTACAGGCATGAGCCACAGGCGCCCGGCCTACACTTCTGGCTTTTTTATGCTTAAGATAAGCATATGCTTCAAGATAAGCATCTCCAGGACTTTTATGCTTGGGTTGGCTTTGAACTGTGATTCTAATATCTCAGCCTCCTTAATAGCTAGGATTATAGGCATGAGCCACTGGTCTCTGGCTCCAAATCCCTTTTAAATATATGCTTGAGGTACTTAATGCAATCTCATTTTTTATGATTATTAATATGTATTCAAACCCATTTCTGAGAATAATCACTCTGGACTTCATTTGATATAATACATTAAAAAAAGTTTAAGACAAGCCAGGCAGTGGTGGCTGATGCCTAGAACCAAGGTACTCAAGAGGTTGAGATCTGGGAATGGAACTTCAAAGCCAGCCTGGTCAGGAGGAAAAGCCTTCAAGAATCCATCTCCAATTAACTCTCAAAAATCCCAGAGGAGACATAGCTCAAGAGGCAGATCTGAGGAAAAAGACTGAGCAAAAGTGCAAGACCCTGAGTTTTTTTTTTTTTTGGGGGGTGGGGGGCCTTGAACTCTGGGCCTGGGTGCTATCCCTCAGCTCTTCAGCTCAAGGTGAGCACTCTGCCACTTGAGCCCCAGCGCCACTTCCAGTTTTCTAGTGGTTAATTGGAGATAAGAGTCTCATGGACTGTTCTGCCTAGGCTGGCTTTGAACTGTGATCCTCAGATCTCAGCCTCCTGAGTAGCTAGGATTTTAGGCATGAGCCAGCACCCAGATACACACACACACACACACACACACACACACACACACACACACACACACACACACACACACACACACACACACACACACCCTTTAAGACACAGAATTAAATGGAAAAACATAAACCTTTTGGAAGCTGCTTAATGCTGCTTTTGGGTCATCTTCTTTTAATGCTTTGGAATTATAGTACTGATTTTCCAAATCCACATTTGGTTCCGAGTTACTATCTTCAGAGTATTCCTGTGTAGAAAACAAAAAGATATCCACTGTAACTCAAAAATACACCAATACAAGCCGGGCGCCGCTGGTGGCTCACGCTTGTAATCCTAGCTACTCAGGATGCTGAGATCTGAGGATCATGGTTCAAAGCCAGCCCAGGCAGGAAAGACAGTGAGACTCCTATCTCCAATAAACCACTAGAAAACCAGAAGTGGCACTGTAGCTCAAGTGGCAGAGGGCTCGCCTTGAGCTGAAGAGCTGAGGGACAGCGTCCAGGCCCAGAGTTCAAGCCCCATGACCGACAAAAAAAAAAAAAAAAAAAATACACCAATACAAGATGCACTTTTCAATATTCAAACTGGCTTTGTGATGCGAGGACATGAGTGTCACTGGTCTCAGAGACAGGAGACTTTGAATTCAGTTATGTTTAACAATGGAAAATCCCTGGGAACACTTTTTAAGGCCACGCTGAAATTCTGAAGAATACTTTATAGTCACTCATTCACTTAAATGCTGGCTAGTGTAGATATGACTATAACCAAACTGATAAAATTGAAAAGGTAATTGATAAAGATAAACAAGCCAATTGTGTATCTCAGTAACTGAATGAAGTCTAACAGTGATGGGTTTGAAGATGGGATTTGAAAAGTAAATGGGAATTTACTTCCCAGACAAAACAGAAGTTAAAGAGGACAGCATACACCAGAAAAGCATAAACAATGGGAGACATTAAGTAAGAATAGTTCTACTGTTGGAATAAAGCTCCACGACTGGGCCCCCCAAAAAATAATAATAATGCTCAAACCATCCTTTCTCTCTGGCTACATCGCTCCCTGCCAAGCAACTTGGATCTCTCCACAAACTTTTTTTTTGTTGGTCATGGGGCCTGGGAGCTGTCTGAGCTTTTTTGTTCAAGGCTAGCCCTCTACCACTTGGAGCCACAGTACTGGTGTTTAATTGGAGATAAGAATCTCATGGACCTTTTCTACCTGAGCTAGCTTTGAACTGCAATCCTTAGATCTCAGCCTTCTGAGTAGCTTGAATTATAGGCGAGAGCTATTAGTGCCTGGTGTCCACAAACTCTGCTTTTTTTTTTTTTTTTTTGTTGGTTGTGGGGCCTGAACTTGGCCTGGGTGCTGTCCCTCAGCTCTTCAGCTCAAGGCTAGCACTCTACCCCTTGAGCCATGCCACCACTTCCAGCTTTTTTTTTTTTTTTTCTGCTTATGTGGTGTTTAGGAATCAAACCCAGGGGCTCATGCATGCAAGGCAAGCGCTCTACCACCGAGCCACCTTCCCAGCCCCCCACAAACTCTTAAAACTACCCTTCAGGTCTCATTTTCAGGCTTTAAGTTCCAATCGTCTCATAGTAAGCAGCCAGAATTATCTTTACAAAATGTAAATTCTCTCATTCCTCTCCTTCAAAATGGCTTCCCACTGCCCTAAAACTTGGCTCCTATGTTCAGCCTTGTCTATCAAGCGCTCCCCTGGTTGGTCTTGCGGCAGTCATGTTGGCCTTATTGCACAAGTGGCAAGACCCCTTCCCACCTGGACATGCTATTCCAGCTTCTTTCCACTGCTTTCTCATCTGGGCCACTAAGACCCAGTTCAGACCACAGTTTCTGTGCCCTCTTCCTTCTCTAAGGAAGACTTGGGATAAACAATCATAGCTATGAAACCTACTCTATTCTTTGGGAAGTCAGTTCTTTGCTAATTGTCTAATTAGCTTGAAATATTTCTAAACACTTACATCTAAGATATACCATGGAATTATTGAAAAGGAAACCAACACTCTTCTGTATATCACCTTTATAATAACAATTAAAAAAATTAGTTGTGGGGTGTGAACTCAGGGTCTGTGCGCTGTCCCTGAGCTTTTTTGCTGAAGTCTAGTGCTCTACCACTTTGAGCCACAGTGCCACTTCAGGTTTTCTGGGGCTAATTGGAGATAAGAATCTCAGGGACTTTCATGCCTGGGCTGGCTTCTAACTGTGATCCTCAGATCTCAGCCTTCTGACTAGGTAGGATTACAGCATGAGCCACTAGCACCCAACTAAAATAACAATTAACACATTTTTAAAAATTAAGAAAAGAGTCAGATAAACAACAATTAAAGCCGGGCGCTGGTGGCTCACGCCTGTAATCCTAGCTACTTAGGAGGCTGAGATCTGAGGATCGTGGTTCAAAGCCAGCCCGGGCAGGAGAGACTGTCAGACTCCTATCTCCAATAAACGACCAGAAAACCGGAAGTGGCGCTGTAGCTCAAGTGGTAGAGCGCTCACCTTGAGCTGAAGAGCTGGGGGACAGCGCCCAGGTCTAGAGTTCAAGCCCCACGACTGACCAAAAATAAAAATAAAAAAAAAACCCAACAACCTCACGGAAGCAGGGCACTGATAGCTCACGCCTGTAATCCTATGTACTCAGGAGGCTGAGATCTGAGGATTGAGGTTGGAAGCCAGCCCGGACAGACAAATGTGAGACTCCTATCTCTAATTAACCAGCAAAGAGTCTACTGGAGGAATAGCCCAAGTGGCAGAGCACCTCTTCTAAGCACATAACCAAGGGAAAGTGTGAGACTCGAGCCGCACAACGGCAAAGAAATCATGTCATAAAGCTTAACCCAGCTTTCAACATTTTATGAGTGTATTCTTTTGGTCTGATATATAATTAGCTGTAGGTAATATTTAGTATTTTTGCATAGTTACCACTGAACTATTAAATAAATGTTATTGCTAATTATGAAAATTACCACAATGAATCTAACAACTGACCTAAGTATGTTCATGTGGATTGAGCCAGACACCAAGAAGACATCACCTGGAACTTACAACTCAATGAGTCCGACCTCATCTCAGGCTGTGCACAACAGCCTGCTTACTTCACTTCAGTTGTTACACTGGTCTGACGTTTTTTGTGTGTGGTGGTATGAACATCTGAACTCAAGGCTTCCTGCTTACTAACAAGTGCTTTTCTGCTGAGCCAGACCTCTAGTCATTTTTTTGCACTGGTTGTTTTTGAGAGTGCACCTCAATTCCTGTTCAAGTATATGGATTACAATCTGCCTACTGTGGGCTTCCCAGTTATAGCTGCAATGACAGGTGAGTGTGCCATGCTAGCTTCTCTCAATTGAGAGGGAGGCCTGTGTTGGCCCGAAACTGGGATTCTCCCAATCTCAGCCTCTCAAGTAGTTAGGATGAACAAGCCATAGCACCTGGATCTGGCATCGCTATTTTTTTTTTTTGTCGGTCATGGGGCTTGAACTCTGGGCTTGGGCGCTGTCCCTCAGCTCTTCAGCTCAAGGTGAGCACTCTACTGCTTGAGCCACAGTGCCACTTCCCGTTTTCTAGTAGTTTATTGGAGATGAGTCTCAGGGACTTTCCTGCCTGGGCTGGCTTTGAACCGAGATCCTCAGATCTCAGCCTCCTGAGTAGCTAGGATTACCGGCGTGAGCCACTGGCGCTCGGCTAAAATGGTTTTTCTTTTCCTTTTTTTTGGGGGGGTCTGGTCCTGGGGCCTGAACTCTGGGCCTGGGCACTGTCCCTCAGCTCTTCAGCTCAAGGCTAGCGCTCTACCACTTGAGCTACAGCGCCACTTCCGGCTTTTTTCTTTTTGCTTATGTGCTGCTGAGGAATCGAACCCAGGGCCTCATGCATACAAGGCAAGCGCTCTACCACTAAGCCACCTTCTCAGCCCCGCTAAAATGGTTTTTCTTCTTTTAATTAATTTTCTTTTTGTATATGTGGTACTGAGGAATTGATGGCATCACTAATTTCATTTAGATGATCTTTATTATTTTCACACAAGGCTAGAACTCTACCACTTGAGCCTCTCTTCTAATTCTAGCTTTTTGTTGGGTTATTTGGGGATAAAAGTCTCTCAGATTTTGTCTTCCTGGGCTGGCTTCCAACTGTGATCATGGGATCTCAGCCTTCTGAGTAGCTAGAACTAAAGGCATGGGTCACCATATCCAGCATATTTTTATTATTTATACTTAAAAAGCATGATTTTGGAGGGAAACAAAAACAGGCTTGTAGTTGGGGTAGGTATTAGTGGGAGGGAATGGACTAAGGAGGATGAATAAACATAATTATAGTTGAACTATACTGTTTTCAAGTCTGAAAAGAACACTGAAACCTATTGAAATTGTTTTAGGAAGGAGGGAAGGGACAGTTATAAAGGAGGTGAAATTAGAATAATTGTATACATGCTTTGAAATGTCACAAGGACATTCACTCTGCAAACCTAATTTAAAACTATTTTTTTAAATCCCATCATCTTTAATAGTCATACTTTGCTTAATAAATGGGCACATATTCTGAAAAATCCATCATTAGACAATTTTCTCATTGCAAAAAATATATTTATATCATAAAATATATTTACACAAACAAAAACTAGCAAAGCTGGGGTACAGCCATGCACTCAAATGTAGGGCATATAATCTTACATGCCTACTATTTTTACATGTGATTCATCACTGACCCAAACATCATTAGGTAAATTTACATAGATAGATAGATAGATAGATACATAAATAGATATACACACACACCAGCAATTAAGTATTGGGACACATGCAAGTTAAGTTCTTTCCCTCAAGTCACACAGGACCCACTAAGAAATAGGTATGCAAAGTAATAGAAATAGATATACAATGTAATAGAAGTAGATACTATAATGTAATACGATGTAAGCAATATTCAGAGACACATACTATGCACAGGGATAACTCAAAAACGAACAACCAACTACGCAAGAGTTAAAGAAAGGAAAAGATATTTGAATCAGGTGTAAAAAGTATGATTAGGCTTGGCACTGGTGGTCCATGCCTGTGATCCTATCTACACAGGAGGCTGGGATCTGAGGAATGCAGTTTGAAGCCAACCCACACAGAAAAGACAGTGAGACTCTTACCTTGAATAAACTACTCAGAAGTAGCACTGTGGCTCAAGTGGTAGAGCGCTAGCCTTGAGCACAGAGAGGTTCAGGGACAGCGCCCAGGCCCTGAATTCAAGCCCCAGGAC